TGGTTGGTTGGATGGTTGGTTGGTTGGTTGGTTGGTTGGTTGGTTGGTTGGTTGGTTGGTTGGTTGGTTGGTTGGTTGGTTGGTTGGTTGGTTGGTTGGTTGGTTGGTTGGTTGGTTGGTAATAGATGGATGTTTGTTCCGTTGGTTGGTACGGTGTTTGGTTGTTGTTTTTTGGTCAGTTTGTAAGATGATGGATAGATGGGTTGTTGTTTGGCAATATGGTAGGTTGGTTGCTTAGTTGGTAAGATTGTCATTTGGTTGGTATGATCGTCGGTTGTTTGGTAAGACGGTTGGTTAGTTGTTTGGTTAGTTAGTACGATGGTTGGACAGTTAGTTGTGGGTTGATTGTAATAGTCTGATTGGACAGGTTGATTGGTTGGTTGGTTGGGTGTTTGGTTGGTAAGATGGTTGGTTAGTTGTTTGGTTAGTTGATTGGCTGGTTGGATGGTTGATTGTAATTGTCTGATTGGACAGGTGGAATCAAGGATCAATGAATGGTGTCAATCTATTAGTGATTGATTCGATGCTTTCACAGTTAGTTATTTGTCAGTTTGAACAGTTTAAATCGGTTAGTCTGTTAGTTGCCTTTTAGTAATCGATTAGTTTATGCTGCTTTGTGCTTGAAGTGTATCCGTGWWTTATAGATAATTTAWGATGYAGGAATGAAACGGCAGTAGTGATCAGCAATCTTCACTGTTTTGTCAGTTGGTAGATAAAAACACTGATCAAAAACCTCAACCGTCAAATAAGAACGAGATCTTCAATGCCAGACATTACTTGAGACAACAACCYTGATGGTATTTTCGACAAGAGGAGGAACGAAGTTGRCATGTTTGTTTTGTGCCATTGTGTGTACTTCAGTTTGACAATTTTTTTTTGTATAAAATTCACGCGAAAAATTTCAATTAAGAAATTTATAAAGCTATAAAMATATATGTATCACTCATACGTGGACTACCAATGTTCAGGGGCCGGGTTGTTCAAAGCGCAACTGCTAAGCCACATGACTTCTTGACTTTTGCGGTTGGCGGTAATTGGGTAAAAACGCCAATTAACATCTCTAAAATTAAAACGGGCAATGGTCAAAGAGACTCTCTAGCTTTTGTTTATGTGTGAGAATATTATCCCTTTATGCTCGATAAATGAGGCGGATTTGTAGTACGTATTCCATATATGGCACAAACTAACAAGCGAACAGAAGCACCTAACAAGCGAATAGAAGCACCTAACAAGCGAACAGGGGTCCATCCTTTTTTTCACTTGTATATTTTTCTACAGTTTTTTATCGACTTATTCGAGCTTTTTAAAAATTTTCTTATCAAATTTTAACTTAGA